CCTGCTTGAAAGGAAAAATTCACGCAGAACCGTTCACAGCGTCAGCCATAGAGCAACAAACGTTCTTATCATTTTCTTCAAAGCGATGGGAAAGTTGGCAAACATGGGTGGAAACGTATGAAATATTTTATGCTTCCTCTTTATCTTCTTCAGATATTAAATCATTTTCGTAGGAATTCTTGATGAAATTAACTTTGCGTTCACTGCAATTAATTTTCATTTAACCGATTTAAATTTCTTCACTTTTTTAGAAGTTCCTTTTTAGAAGTTCCTTAATCGTTAAAGACGAAAAGTGAAGCTATATTCTCATTCTTTTAAGAATAGTTAAAAAAATTTGTATTTCAATTATTTTTAAAAGTATATAAACCTCTCACTTTCGAACGCTCTAAACACAAAAGGTATGCAACCACATATCAATCATCATGACTGATTCATTGTTATCGATTAATGCAGCTGACTGAGATTAAACTGATCAACGATTGGATTTATTTGACGTTTGCAATTGATAGCGTTTGGTGCTTTCGCGTATAATCTTTGTGTTTTCTGAGCACGTCGATTACGACGAACACGAAAATTACCCAATTAAAAGGTACCGATTTCGATTAACTTTTACGTATATACAATACACAATAAAATCTGAAATGTCTGTTCGGAAAGACCTCCGGAAAAAAAAAAGCAAGTAGAGCACATAACAACGTAAACTATTATGCATACATTGCGTACGTATAATGTTATATTAATATCGTAACGTAATTTAATTAATATTCTCAGCAAAGCTAATTGAATTACCAGCAGTAATAAAATATGGGACGTAGTTCAAAAAGTACTTGGAAAAGAAAATGTATGATCTAGGAATTAATTTACATTTGAAAATAGAGTTTAAAACCGCTTGTAACATAAATCATTTTGTATGCACTTACAACCGTCGATCCTTGGAATGCAATCCATAAACACAGAAATGTCGCTGTTGTACGGTGTTACCACTTGAATTCACGTGCGCGACGATTCTAAATTACGCTGGCGCGAAGGCGCGTCGATATGGAAATAATTATAGTGCTCGACTATTGTAAGCGTGTACAGAGTATCTCTTAAACGCGAAATGGGCATAACTCGGAACTGGTGCGGAGCGACTGACCCGTATAAACGGAAAACGTTAAGTGGGTAAGTAGTCAGCGTTGCAGGTAGGAGCCGAACGTATAGGAGAATGGAAATTGTTCCCCGTGCCAATCGGAGTACAGTGTCGCTCTCGTAATGGCCCGAATATTATGCAATGCCAATGCTTGACAATAATTCGCAAGCATTTTTCTCACTTCCGGTTGCTCGACCGTCGTCGTTCGTCTTATCCTCGCTTTGCCCAATTATTTAAGGGGGAAAATCGCAATAGGAGGACGAATATTAAGCGTTTCTCGTGATTTTTTCTTTTCTATAAAGGAAAACGTATTTAATTTTTTGTTTAACTTTAGGAATGTTTTTGGGTATATCGTAAAGTACATTTGGTCATTTTTTCAATTACAGTGGGTGTGGAATGTATTCGTACACCGATCAATTTCTCAAAAAGTTCTGTGTGAAATTTTAGTTTCTTAACTTCTTTGTTTGTAATCAATGATTTTCTGCATATTCTAATCTAGGATAATTCCTAATCCTATTCCTAATTTTCTAATCTAGGATTCTAATGTAGGAAATCTAGAATAGATATAGTCCAAACAAGAATTATTAGTTTATATAGTTTGCGAAATTAATACGAGAATACGAAAAATTGGGAGAAATATAGAAGCAATAAGTATTCGTACTGTTCTTATGACGAACTGTTTACAGTTGAGTTTGTAACATAAACGCATCAGTTTATTGCTTCTTACGAATTAGAAAGCATCGAATTTTCAGTAAATAGGGAAATTGGGAATATTGCACGCTATACATTCGTAAAACAAATTCTAAACTGAATTTACAATTGATAACAATTTACAACTAAGGAGTTGAAGTGAATAAGAAATCAACGAGTAACGAATCGAATTAATGAAATATCGTAAATATCCATATTAATGTGGCTATCGATGTTTTTTGTTAAGAGGAAAGTTTTTTCACAAAACACTATGTATAACTACTGTAGTAACTTACTTATTTTCTTGAAACGTTCGTATCAAACAAAAACTCACTAAATTGAACTTAGTTCTGCACAAACATATCGAAATAAGTCTTTCTTTTAAGTAAAATATTTCGTTTTCTTTAGTATTTTGAAAAGGAAATACTAAAAATGTCAGATATAATAAGTTTCATCCGATACAGTTTCCTATTGTCAATACCCATTTTTAACAGATCTTCGTCCTCTATCATAGAAGTTAACATTAGACTGCAACTTGTCCGGTTGCTGTGAAAGACGTTTCGCTATATCCTTAATTGCGGAAGGTTTTACAAGATTTTCCACGCTGTCATTCAATCCAAAGTATTTTTCCTTACTTTTCGCGAGAGCTACCGAGAGTTGCTCGTTCCTTTTTCCTTTGTAAATAGGATGAATTGTCGCCTTCTGCCCGTCGTTCTGTAAATTTGATTTGACATATTAGTTCGCAATCGTAAAAGAAATTTATTTAAAAAGAATAGACTGTAAGTAACTTTTTCTTTTTCTTATGGACATTGAAATGAAACAATGTCGAAACGTGAAAAATATATTTATGTTTAAACTGATGCTTCGAATGAAATTCTTTCCTCTATTGAATGTATAATTTACGAGTAATTTATTATTAAATTCTTGTTATAATTATAATGGACGAAGAAATACGTCAAAGTTCAAAAAGTTCAAGAATCTTCCTTGAACTTTACTACGTGTTTAAGTAATTTAAGAAGCACTGATTCGAAAAGTTTTATTTGCTTTACCCGTATCCAATCGTTTTTGTTTTCATCTTTGAACACGACAGCTTTCAAAGATGAAACTCTCGGCAATTTGATATTCCTCGAATCGAATGTCTTCGTCTCTTCTATCAAATGGTCGCAAGACATAAAACGCCGAGGTCTGTTTTCGTCGTCCGATTTCTTCCATCTCATCATGGATCCAAAGAAGTCTATAAAGGATCTTCGTCGACTGAGTTTCTTCCTACAACGTCCATTCAAAGTCGAGTCTCTTCCTTCTTTCGAACATTCGAATATTCTTTCCAAACTGTTGCCATTCTTATCGTTCTCACATTTTCTTAAAAAGTAAGAGTCGAGAGGATCGACTCGACTCTCCGATTCAACTCGAGTTCGGTCAGGGTCAAAGGAAGAACAATTACGAAACATTTTCCCGTTCTGTTCTTCGTACATATGAAAACTCCGTGGAAATCCATCAATTTCATCTCGATACTTGCTTCTACGTTGATCGCTTGTGCTAAACACTGTTCCCTTTTTATTCGAACTTCGACGCATAGATCCCTTGGCGCCGCTATTCTTACCGTGATTCTCGAACGAAAACTGGTCTTTCAATTTGATATTAACAAATACATTCGCTCTGTTTTTAGAAGCCACACTGAGATTATCACATTTCAAGAACCTTTCGTTTGTTTCCCGACGGAGTTCATCGTCTTTGTTCGTTTCTCTTATATTTGAATCCTGGAGGCTACTGTTGTACGATTTGTCCGAATTCAGATTGGAATAATCGTTTCTTCTGTAATATTTTTGAACGAACTCGTCGTCCGCCTTGCAGACCTCGTTTTTTCTTTCCAGAGAGGCGATCAGTTTTTTTACAAAATTTTGCGACTTCGGTGTCGATGGTCCCTTCACTCCGTTGACGTCATCGAAGGTGAAGGTCCTGCAACGATTGTTCCCCGAAGAATTTTCTGCGTCGTTTTCGTCGCTTACTGCTCCGTCCAGAATATCTGACGTAGACTTGGAACGGTTGCTTCTGAATCCCTGTTCCATTTTTCTTATAAATATCAATTTTCCAACGGGAGCGATCACAGTTTTATTAAGTCCTCCGACGCGTGTTTAGTTGAGGGAAGTATAAATTTATAGAATTGCTGTTACGCGTTTGTTTTCCTTCTGAACGATGTTACGCGTTTACTTCCGCGCTAGGAACAGTAACGACGAAACTCGTAACAATTTGGCGTTTGTTATTCTATAAAACGACACGTATTGTAAAGGTCAAGCGAGAATGTATACTTCAGAGCCACGCGAAACAGATTTCCTTGTTATCATATTTACCTTACAAATGAACTTATACGCGGTGGTCCGCTGAAAACAGATCGGATCAATATTTTCTCGATTTTAAATAATAGCCAGAAGAAGGGATTTAGATCCGCGTTTATTTCGAAAGAAATGCATATAGGATACAGTATGAGACACGTATTTACATTATTTAACATTATTTGACATTACTTCGACCATCACTGTGGACATTTTAAAGAATAATATTGTTCGTAAGAAAATAGAGATACGAAACACATCAGTCAAAATTTGAAATTACTAAACCACTGTAGAAATCATTTTTGACGAAATGTAGTTGCGTCAATAACCGTTCTAAGCATTTTATTTTAGAAGAAGAATGCTATTTACTCTCGGTTTTAAATTATCTCCAGTGAGATTATCTCCTTTACGAAAAAATTACAAAAAAGATATTTGAATTCGTCTTCTATAATATTGTCGAGTTTTTCGGAAGAAATCATTCATTTTTCAAAGTTGTCCATTTTTACTTCTTTTTATTTTTCTGCCAAAAACACCTGCATTCGTTCTCCCATTTAATTCCGTAAGACTCAGCGTAGGCCGACTTCTTTTCCACTTTTTTTTTTAAATTGAAAAAAAATTTATTTCGATTCAAAATTTCTTCTTAGTTGAGTAGAAAAATATGAAAAAATACCACAGAAAGATATTTAGTAGGGTGCTATAGCATGTAATAATTTTAGTCGAATCAAAAGGGGTCTAAATTTTGAATAAGGGGTAAGTTTAAATTTACCTACAGAAGATCGAGTTTATAAATAGTCGATTCGGAATCGAACATCCATACGCCATCTAGCGTGACGAAAAGATATTTGAGAGTGCACAGGGGCAATGTAATGGAAAAATTGCGACGCAAGAGATTATTATGTATTTTATTTGATACCAGAGATACTTTATGATTGATTTCCGAATAAGGTAGTTTTTAGTATAAACGATATGTAGTTGTTTTTCAAATGGATTATTTATACTTTGTTATATCTATTGCAACTCGCAAAAAATTTAAACTATCTCTTATTATCGCGCTATCTTCAAGATCTTAGCAGATCTTAGTCAGTTGTGGTGCTGTTATGATATTGTTGACATTTTTGTAAAGTGAAAAAGTAGCGGTATGTTTGTCATTTGCAAGAACAATGAAATATTTACTCTATGAGTAATGACCAATGCTGCTTTGCCAAAGTGAAGGTGATTGTATTGTACAAATGAAATATCATTCTTTGATAAACACTTAACCTTAATTCGGTCACTCCTTGTAGAAAAGAACTGTATTTACCTTTCTTTGTATTCATAGAGCGACAGAGCATTTCATCCATATGACATTTTGAAAAATTTCAACAAATATAGATAGTATTTCTAAAAATTGTGGAAATGGATAGCCTTTTCACACAAAATATCACAGATGAACCAGATGACATACCACAGACAGATGAACCAGTTTGGGTTCTTGGGAGAAAATATAATGCCATAAGAGGTTTAATAGTTAATTACGATAAAGAGATCTTCAATAAATTTGTTATGTAGGATCTTATATTTCAGAACTCGACGCAATTCGTAGTGATATAAGGTCTAAATTATGGTTCACCTATCGTAAAGGTTTTCCATCTATTGGTGGCTACAATTCTTCATATACAAGTGATAGAGGTTGGGGTTGCATGTTACGATGTGGACAAATGGTCCTTGGCCAAGCTTTAATCACATTAAACTTAGGTAATTTGTATTTAACTTAATATTAAAAATATATGTTATATTTGAATATATATATTTTATTATTTTTAGTTAAATATATAAAAATATCTTAAAAAATTTTGCTACTTTATACTTTTATCCTCCCTATTTATTGTTTTTATATACTCGATTTTAATAATTAACTAATTTTATATTTATACGAATAAAAGAATATTGTATTCAACACAGTTATACATGTTAATTATGTAATAATATTTAAAATATTTGCTGCTACCGTTCGTTTGAAAATCTATCTGCTTTAGACCATGCTTGATTTACAGTAATTCTCTTTAATCTAATGCATGCTTTTAATTATGTACATATCAAATGTATTACACATACCAACTTCATATTCTAAATATTATTCTAAATTGCACACGATATAAATAGAAAGTCATTGCTGTAATACATGTGATGTTATTCTTTCGCAAAATCAACATACTACATGTGTATGTTATCTATGGTAATGGATGTTAAAGGATGAAATGACTTTGTGCAGTTATTATGTAATATACACATAAAAATAGGTAGAGACTGGCAATGGGAACCAGAGAAAAGCAAGGATAGCACGTACCTGAAAATTCTGGAGCGCTTTGAAGACAAAAGAACTGCCACATACTCTATTCATCAAATTGCATTAACAGGAGAATCTGAAGGAAAAGAAGTTGGACAGTGGTTTGGTCCCAATACAATAGCACAAGTATTAAAGTACATATTTTTGATATTCTAAGTGGTTGTATGCATAAGAGTGTTGCCTTATCAAGGTATAATTTTCAGAAAGTTAGTTGTGTATGATGAATGGGACTCGATTACAATACACGTGGCTCTGGACAATATGATAATAATTAATGATATTTGTAAGTGTCTGTATATTGTTTGATGCTTTTTTTAATATATACATATATATACTTTCAGTCTTAATGTTGTATACAACATATACCATTTAATTACACATTTACAGTAAAACAATGTAGAATAGAAGGAGGTACAACTGCAGAAGCAGATGGTAATATACCACTGAAAGCACCTAACCAATGGAAGCCTTTATTACTTTTAATACCTCTTCGTCTCGGATTAAGCGAGATTAATCCTATCTACATTGATGGGCTTAAAGTAATAAAGAAATAAATGTTCTTGCATGAATGGATAGAGATGAACTGAAACTTAAATGAAATTAAGGATATTCTATTCATACATATGATTTTTCAGAATTCATTGAAGATCCAACAATCTTTAGGGATAATAGGAGGAAAACCCAATTATGCATTGTATATCATAGGATATGTTGGCATGTATAATTGCCTGAGTTATTTTAGCGACTCGATGTAAAGATATATGTAAATTAGTTACATTATTTTCATTTACAGGGAATGAAATAATTTATTTGGATCCTCACACTACTCAAAGATCAGGCAGTGTTGAAGACTCTGAGATGGATGCTACTTATCATTGCAAGTCTGCTAATCGTATTCCTATCACAGGGATAGATCCTTCTGTAGCACTTGTAAATAAATAACTAAACTTGTTTAATAAAAAGTGATTACTCCTTAATAGTAATAATAAACAATATTCTATTTCTTTTCAGTGTTTCTTATGTCCGACCGAACACGATTTTAAATCTTTATGTAAATCCATTCAAGAAGAATTAATCACGCCAGAAAAGCAACCTTTGCTTTACGTATGTACAGAGAGATTACCAAATTGGTCACCAGTTAAAAAACCTCCATTGGAAGCAAAAGCAGTGACAAGTTGTAAGTTTCTTTAGATACATATAAAATAAAGAAGAAAGTAATATTTTGCATTTTTTTGTATTCAAAAGTTACTTTTTATTTACTAAGAGCTTATAATAACGTATTAACAGTTACTAGAAGATTAAAAAAAAAGAAAAACATGTCGAATTGAGTAACCTCCTTCTTTTTGAAGTTGGTTAAAAATGAATTAAATTTTTAACAGAGTTTAGTATTATACAATACTCTAAGCAATCTTACATTCAGTAAATTTGATTTATATAGTTCATCTTAACCAAATTTTTTGTAGTTGTAGATTTTGAACATATAGGTCTACAGTATGATACGTCTGATGAAGACTTTGAACTGCTCGGTTGACATTTAATCGTCAATTAAGATCAGTCTGCGATTTAAGAAATATGTATATAATAACCTGGATGGTCCGTTCATACATACACTACAATATTACTCAACTTTTCATTGGAAATACATACTTGAATTATACTAGTGCTATTCCAGTACTAGAAGTTGAACAATAAAATTATTTATACCAAATAATTAAAATATTGTATATATTACTTATATTTAAATACTTCGGACTTGGGTGATCTATTCATTGTTAATACATTATACGATTTTGGTACAAAACAAAACTGTTGTTCGTAAAGAAATATTCACTTCTGCATATAATACAGTATATACTTACTCTTGTATACTAACTAAACTAATAATAATATATGTTAACCAAATTTAAATAATCAAATTACTTCCATGATTATACATTTGAAGATGGTTTGAAAATATCAAGTTTTTTTTTTAAATTATTCATTTCAAACATAAATAATTGTAATATTAAGAGAATATATTTATTTACTTTTCTTCAAAATACAGTCATAGTACACATTAAATAACATGGGAAGGTCACAATTCATACAAGTGATTTTTTTAGTAGAGTCAAGCTTAAATTATAGGTTAAAATCAATATAAACAAACTGCAGGATGTTGTTCCTCTTGCTCAAGAAGCTGCATTTTGAGTGACTCGATGGATGGTATGTTGTTGCATAATTTTATTTCAGTACGAAATGCTTCATAATCCTTTGGTAATGTGTTTAGAAGCATTACAGATAACATTTCTCCTGGTATTTGAATTCCAAAGTCTTCTAATTCTTTCGCTTTGTATTGAAACTTGTCCACAAACTCCATCATACTTTCATTTGCTCTCTTCTTCATTCGACGTAATTGTTCATACAAAACTGTTTCCTTCATTGAATCATTTGCTTCGTATTTCTTTTTTAGAATAGTCCATGCATCATACGCTGTTTTTGCATTCATTATATGATTAAACTGTGGCCTCCTTACACTTAATAATATGAAGGCAAGAGCCCTCTCGTCTTTCTTATCAAACTCTATTGCATTCTGATCTGTTTTTATTATTTCTCCGTTTACATATGGCCATAAGTCATTAAGGATTAATACTTGTTTCATTTCTAGCTTCCAACTATCATAATTTTGTTTAGAAAGTTTCTGTATATTACAATTTCCAACAAAACCCTCCATGGTTTTATTATTCTCTCGTTAAGCACGTGTTATCACAGCTTACACTTTTTTCTATGTTTATTATTCACATAATAGATTTCACTTATCCTCTGGATCCATAAACTAACAAGAATTTCATATTGAACTGTTGAATCATTTAAAATGATTTAAAACTACTTAGTAACAGTTTTGTTACAAATGTTTGCAAATAATGTGATTTCACTACCTTGTATATGTACACATGTTACATCAGTTAAATTAAACGCCACAAACCACAACACAACGTGATCGACCTACAATGCAGTTTCCAACGCAACGATATAGGTTATATCAGGTTATTTAGTACGTTCCATAAGAAGGCGAAGTTATATACATATATATAGATGTAAATGTATGTAATAGAGGTTATCATGCGATCAAAATTTCATTGGTCGACGCTGGTCGGTTTTTTATTAAATAATAATCTTAGGTAGAATCACGGTAATCATTTCTGAACATGATTAAACAATTAATTTTAATATTACGTTATTAAGAGTAACTACAAGTTGAATTTACATTTGGAACTATGATGACATTTATTACAATTCAGTATATAATAAATATAAATTTTTAAAACTTATAGGAAAAAGCTATAAAATAATTAGTCTATTACTACTTAAACGCTGGTTATAATACAAATATAAAAATAATTGATTATCATGTGATACTTAAATATACAATTTTAAATATTACATATTTTATATAATAATTTTAAATATCAAATAATATATATTTAAGATAAATGTGTATGTACTTTACAAACAACAAACTGTATTTATTTAAATGTCATACAATTTTATCTAATAAAATGAAACTTCAAATTTAAAAGTATTTTTATTACTGTTAATAAAAATATATGATTACAATTATAACAGATGTATACAGTATAAAATAATATAAGCATCACAATCAAAATAACTCGTTATATAACATATTATACACTTTTATTATTTATCATTTTTAATACATATATTTATAAATTATTAAATTTAAATGTTGTTAGCCATTTAGACATGAACTATTGCACTTACATGTTACTAGCCATTTAATTTATTGTACTTAAGTGTTAGTTATCAGATTACACATTTACAGAATTCATTCATTCGCTTATACAAAAATAAATATGTTCACGTTTGTTCGCAAAACTCGTATTGTTTAAGGATCACATCTTAGTATTTAATTTTGTTATGCTATATGTATTCAGATAATTATTACAATAATAATTATAATATGAACATTTATACATAAACCTTATAAACATATAGTAGAAATAAAAAAAGAAGATTTGGGAACAAATACAATATTAAAAGCATGCTACATAAGCATTTAATATTAATAAATTTCAGGTATACATACTATGGGATAATATTATTGTTCCTTGGAACGAATCGATGCATAAATATTTGTTTATAAATGAAGCATGTTCCAGAATACTATTACATAAAATAGTAATTATAATATAAAGGTATAATTAAAAGCGATGCTGAATTCTACAAAAGAAGAATCTTTAACAATGATTAAAACATCACATATTTTAGTATTACAGTATGTACACTTATTTTGTTTCAGACTTACATTTACTTATAAGTCGTTAATATGAAAATGTAACCGACTAGAAAATATCTTTGGAAAAAATCACTTAAATTTGTTGTACAATTAAAACATTATTAATTCTTTTTGGCCTCTGATATTCCGTATTTACGATCTTTTAAATTAATTACAACCACAGTTATATTGTCTGCAGAACCCCTATATGTTGAAGAAAGAAGTACTTGGTAAATTAGTTTTATAAATTAATGTCTAACACAATAGTAATGTTGCTTTATATTACCTATAATAACTTTGCAGTGTAATACTTTTTGCTCCAAAATGTGGTTCATTTATACGTTCTTTAATAAATGCTACAGCCTCTTCATTTGTAAAAGTATCCCATAAACCATCTGACGCCAAAACAATAAACATTGGATTATGGTCGCTAAGATCAAAAGTTAAAATATCTGGATCTGCAATTACTAGTTTTTTATCTTTCAATGGATAGTCTCCCAAAGCTCTAGAAGTAGCTAATATCCCAGCGACTCTCCATACACCATTAAATGTTACCAAGCCACCAGCTTTAGATATTCTTTTTCTTTCTCTTTCCTAAAAATAGTTTTCATTACACAAAGAAACGTATTGCAATATTAAGTAAAATAAATTCATTATAACTGAGATAAGAGTCTATTCACATAAGCAAAGATACATACTTGTTGAGGTTTATGGTCAAATGATAAAGGTATTGCATTTCCTTTTCCATCGCACATTACACCTCTTGAATCGCCAACATTTGCTACAATCAATTTATTGTCTTCTAAAAGAGCAATCAAAGCTGTTGTACCTAAATTCACATAAATATCATGAAGTTATTTTGAACTTTGGATAAATAGAATACTATAAGACTCGAATAAATTGTTACCAGCTACATCCATGTTTTTTTTAGCAGTTTCAACTAATAATCGATCAGCTGCTAACACTTCATCAGTTAATAGTCTACCGTAGTTTATTTTATTTCCATCAAGATAAGTTGTAATATCTATTTTTGGTGGTTTTTCTGTTGTCCTGCATGGTCTTACCTTGAAGTGATAATAAAGAACATGTTTTCTTACATTTGCAAACATTATATATAGTTTTAATCATACCTCTCTTGTAATTGGTCTCTGCAAACTATCTAACTTATCAAGTAATTCTGGATCAGTTACACCTACAGTCTTCTTCATAAACTCATCTGTTAATGATGTGCTCACTGTCTTACGAAAAGATTTCTTGCGTTCAAGGGTTCCTGCATCACTTTTCTCATCTTTCTGTTGTTCTTCTATATGAACCGTGTCTTTTAATACACGTGGTTCTCTACCAGCTATTATGTCTTTCAATTCAATCACTTTTTTATTAATGTTTGGAATAAGATTATCATATGCATAATTTGCTGCAAACTGTGAAAAAAAATTTAGGCTAAATCTACCTAATACTTTCTAATAAATACATTCATAGTATGGTTATGTAATTAATAGACTATTATTAATGTATTTTGTAACATTATTAAAGACTATCATGTAACTTGGTAATCTCTTTTATTGTACTTAACTATTAAATATATGAATTATCGTTGTAATAATTTTCAAAGTGCAATAACTATTATATGTATATTACAGAGATATCAATATACAAAGAACAAAACATCTTTATTTCAAATAATTTGTTATAGCAAGCTCTTAAAGAATAAAAATTCTGTAATTAAGAAATTCTGTACACTGATATCCCTTCTTAAATTATAACAATCTATTCAATGTACATAAAGTATGAAACACTAGACTTTCAATAATTATATTATAATTTGTCTAAATTTCTTCATGCACTACTTTATTTTTATAAAAATATTCCATGTAAGGAACACCATTATAGTAATGATGGTTAAATTTTCTATATAAGCTAAGCAATCATAAGTATACAAAACAATTGTTATATAAAAATGTAATGAAAAATAACTTGTATGAATCTATAGTTTATGTACAATCTAAATAAACTATATCAATATATTTAGTTTTTAAATAATACACTTATATGATAAATGCATTGCAATCTCACTGAACCCTATTTCTTTACTTTATGGTTTTTTAATTTAATTTCTAATGTTGTGTTAACATTTTCATATAATTATAACATTATTAAACACACTTATTTTACCTTATTGCTGAACTTTTTATCTGCAATTTTGGAAGATAATGATCATATAAGATCGTAAAAGACCAATATAAAATTTATAATGTTACATGAGACATTTAACATTAAAAAGTAAAATTTGTTAAATATTTTATTTTGAAGACAACTGAATAAATTTCTTCGCAAAGATTTAAACAAATGAAATTATTAAATATTGTTAAACTTACATCTCCGCCGTGTCCATCAAATACTGCAAACAAAGATACACCTGTATCATTCATGTCTTCATTTACAACAAAACGATCTTCCATATGAGCTCTATGGCCTTGTACTGCATAAGCAGCAATATATCCTTGCTTCAATTCCCAACTGAGCTTTACTCCATTGTTTACAGAATCATTAACTAGAAACTGTAGTTTTGTAACCTTTTAAAGGTAGAGGAAACATAATAAATATTTCTATGTAAATAATAAGCTATTCTTTAAGTACTTTCTATAATTTAAATACTTTTGATGTGGTTCGGCCAAGTGTGTATTGAATTTTTCCTAATAGTGATCGGCTCCATACATCAACAGCTTGTATGTAAAATAGAATTATTGCCAAAACTACCCCACAAATTAACACTTCTGGTTTCAGTGCGTAAGTTCTCATGACTCTCCAAAAATAGCCGAAAGGAGTATTTATCCCAGCATTGAATCCAGTAGGAATACCCACAGCAAACTTTGACACTAGCTTCATGTGGGATATGTATGTCTATTGCACAATTACAAAGGTATACACAAGATTATCATTAGTGGATAATTAGTCCTATGTTAAAAATATAAATCTTTCATATTTTATTTAAAAAACGTTGTTGATATCAAATCTTACTATCTATCACTACTCAATAAAATAATGAATTTTGTTTATTCGAATTGCTGCTCAAAGTGTGCATTGTGTAAAAAAAAAAGGAGAGCACTAAGACTATTTTTGAATACGAATTACGCGACATGAATATCGTAAATCTAACGTGTGACGAATTTCTCTATCTCAAAGTGAATTTTCGTAAAATAAAGAAACAAAGTTACGCGTTTTATTATTTTTATGTTACCTGATACAAAATCCTGTCTTCAAGCTCGTCATCCATAATATATACTAAAGAACACTTCAAATCAAATCAGTTTTGCTGCGTACTCCAGTTCGGCAGAAATTTGATAATTATTTATGAAAACGTGTACGTGACTGAACATAAAGCACGAATAAAATTTACATTAATAAGCCGACGAAAATTTGTTTAATCGTTCGTTCGAGATGTTTTCAAAAGTCGTGTTCAAGAACGGAAATTAATTTTTACAGTATCTGGTAATTCTGGTATCTACAGCAGACGATACCCGAATTACAAACGTTACTGTAGGATAACCCTTAAGCTCACGCCGCAATGTAATGCCGATATACAGGGTGTCCCAAAAATGTTGCAACACCTTGAAAGGGGTGGTTCGGGTCGAGGTGATTTGAAACAACTTTTTCCTTAGCGAAAATGTTGTCCGAGGCTTCGTTGAGGAGATATTAACGGAAAACACTGACCAATCAGACCGCGAGGATGCCGATGGAGCGGCCTTGGTAGCGTATGAGCGCGGCCGCCTATCGCGTAACCTACGCTCAACCGGCATACTCGCGCTCTGATTGGTCGGGGTTTTCTGTTAATATCTTCTTAACGAAGCCTCGGACAACATTTTCGCTAAGGAAGAAGTTGTTTCAAATCACCTCCTGAACCACCCCTTTCGAAGTGTTACAACATTTTTGGGACACCCTGTATATACCCCTGAAGGGGCGCGACGATAATCTTGCTCGGGGCGCTAATATTGCTAAAACCGGCCCTGACTCCAATGTATAAGTACATACCGGATATAGCGATTGTATTACGCTTTACGGTGCGAGTTTCATAGGGTGAGCTGTCATGCGTTACTACGACGTGAGCTTAGAAGCCGCGTAAATATGGCCGCGGCCATAATGAGTGGTTACTACTACGATCGTGTGTAATGAGAACGCGTGATGTTTGTGATTGTTCTTGTTGGTGTACGGTGATGAGATCGACGTGTCATCGGCAAAGATGAGCGAAAGAAAGTTTACTCGTGGCCTGGGTAAGCCGGGCATGGCTGCTCAATTACGGGAGACTGTCTCTCAGGTAGTACGTGAGAGCACCGTACAGGTAGGTCTGCTGACATCTTCAACCCGATACCTTTCGGCCTCTCGAGTGTACCTAACAACATTTGCAGTTGTTTTAAACAACAAGTATGCAGTAATAATCAGTACCAACGAAAACTTCTTCTGGATATTATTTATTGGAGCATTCATTACTTCTTTAATTCAATATTCATGATAACTATTATCACAATTTTTGTTATAAATGTATCCAATTTAAGATTAAATAGAATAATCTTTATTCAATTTTTGTTTATAATGTCGTAATAGCATTATTCGCGTTAATTTTTTTTTTATATAATAGCTTGAAGACGTAAAATTCCACTTCTTTTAAGGATAATGTTATTCACGTTGAAACATGACCATTTATGGTATCTTGCAATGTCTTGGTTCATTAATTATTACCTTGAATTAAGGATAAGTCGAATTCTTCTCGAGAATAGTTGTTTGGCTCGTTTACTGTCATGACATAATAGAGATTGATAAATTGATGTTTAATTTCTATAGAATGATCTACTGGAAGTTTTAATTTACATAGATTAGGGGTCATTCATTTTATTAATGGTATTATCTTAGTTCTCTTATGTTTTCAAAGTAACTTTTACTAACCAGGTCAGGGTATATGTAATGTCTTTTTTGATATGTTATCATTTATCTTATAATATTCTTATTTACTTTCAGAATAAGCCACATTTAGTAGAACCTATAGACTTTGAAAGTTTTGTATTAAAGAATAAAACTTTATTACAAAATGATCCGCAGAGAGAGCTTCTATTATATCCTCAAGATGATGTTTCAGTGAGTTTCAACTCAGCATTTCTTATCTATTTGACAGAATGTGCATCCGTTGTATGAAAAGATTATGAGTTCATACACAGGATGTTAGTAGCTTTACTATAGTAGTATCAATGTTCTCTTTTTTTTTTCCTTATGGTATCAAATAATTAATTAGATATGATTTTGTTGGTATAAGAGCAATACAGAAACAATATAATTATCTTTACCAATGTTTCAAACAGTTTTTCTTCAGGAATAGATAATGATAAAAATAATTGAAAATATACAAATGTTTGTAAAAATGTATATAATAACAATAAATGAAATTGTTTAGAAAAAACATAAATATATCAATAATATTAACAAGGAATAATAAACAAAACGATAGGAAACAGAAAAAATATTTGGAAATAAGAAATGAAGTAAACAAAAATGTATATGTATTATATAAATATTATATATATTATTATATAAATTTCTGTGTATATTTTTATATATTATAAACAGTGAGGAAATGAATTATATTGTTTCTGAACTTCTGTAATAAAATTCCTTTGCTTTTTATGTTATTATTTAATTAAAGGTAATATTTAATATAATACAATATTTAAAAAAAATTATCAACGTGCTCTAGTATGTTTTTCTTCTGCAGCAAGTGGTATTGCCTAGAAGATACCGTACTCTTGTACCAACAGTACCACAAGTTTCAGATAACGAGGAAAGAACAGAAAACCTTCTTACGAAAGAATGTTTGCGAAGCTATACATCTAATTGGAATCTTATACATTACAAATATTCAGCATATAGTGGAACTTATCTTGAATTGCCCAAGTATGTTTTTATATCTAAGTTCCAAGAAAATTCATCACTAAGTTAATTATCATTATTTTATTTTTGTAATGATGTCTAACTTCTACAAATAGTGCATATAAAATTTAAACTAAATAATGTTTTAGACTAATAAAAGAGTTATACTTTTATATTGTCATATTAATAATTGCAGCATGCTAGTTTATTAAATATAATGTACTTAGTAAAATTTAGTATATTTGTATTTTCTTATTTTTATAGAATATCAAAAGCAGATGATCTGAAAGATGAAGTATATGAAATTGATACAGATGTAGACCAAGTTGATGAGGTAAAATATTTTGTTTTCTGTGTAAATATTATTAATGCTGTGTAAAATTAATATTCTTGATCACAGTATTGTATTAACAAAAATATATTATTTATATAATAATGTACAATAGTAAATGTATGAATTGAGTATATGAATTTCTAGAAATAGATTTTATATTTTTTTTCTTTTTTAATTTGTTTTTTTGCAGAAACAATTTACAGTACAATAATAATAGAATTTATTTTTTAAATGTACTTCTATTATATACTTCGTAACTTGTGTTACAATAAATCTGTTCTTTTATACTTTTCATTTTCTTGTGTGATATTACTATGAAACATTAGATAAACAAGTATGGAAAAGTATATCAAAATCAAATAGATTAATTAATTTCATTAGGAGTTAACAAAAAGTAATGGAATAACAAAAGAAGGCTATTTAATGAAAGGACCAGAAATTGGTAGCAGCGATCGTATGTTTGCAAATATTGGTTCAAAATCATTCAAGAGACGATTTTGTCATCTTAGACAAGAAGTTGATGGCACTTATATTCTTGAACTTTTTAAAGATGAAAAAAAAGGAGAAGCGAAATTAACAATAGTAATGGATTTTTGCACCGAAGTTGTTAGGAATCCGAAACGTGGAAGGTATTGTTTTGAGTTAAGAATGAGCGGGACTCATAAATCGTATACTTTAGCAGCAGATAATGAGACAGATATGCAAGATTGGTTATTAAAGTTGAGCTCGGTATTACAACATTATAAACAACAAGAAGAAAAACGTGCTGCTTCATTAGAAAGAACATGTAATACACCCCCTCCTTCACCTCAACCTATACAGGTATTATGTGTAAATATAAGCGATATTCATTATAAATGTTTTCAATAGAATTGTTGAAAATCACGTTTTATGATGTTAATTACAGGTTTATGGAACGTTAAAAGGCTTGGAGCAAAGCATGAATCCACAGCTAATCAAATATTCTAGAGAAACTGATACCAGTATAGCATTAGCTAGACGTGAAAATCGTAAAAGATTATTCAGTATTTACCCTCATATTCCACATAGCAAGCAACACACAGGCAATTCTAATGAACAAAATATTGATCCATACAAAGAACAATTTGGACATAGAATTTTTGTGAAATGTGAAAGTCTTAAATTTAGATTACAAGCACCAATAGATGAAAAGGAGTCATTGTGCCAGGTGGAACCATATCAAACAACATTAAGTCTTTACGATGCGAGGAATGGTAGAAAACTTACAGAAAACTTTCATTTTGATATTAATCATGAAGTTGTTCAAGAAATGGTAAAAGAACTAAGTCCTGTAGGTATTATGACAGAATCTACAGAAAATATGAAATTACCAGATGACTTAAAAAATATACCATTAGATTGGATTAAATATCCAAAACAGGTTTGTTGTTAACAATTGTAATAGTATAATTAAAGAATTGGTTTGTTAATTATTAAGTGTGCTTTATTTTTCACTTTTACAGGCCATATTTAGTATTAGTAATCCTCATCCTGATATATTCTTGGTTGTAAGAATAGATAAAATATTACAAGGAAACATATGCCAAACTTCGGAACCATATTTAAGAGCTGCAAAAGATCCACGATTAGGTTTGAAACTGCACAAACAAGTCAGAGCATGTTGTCAAAGGTATAGATCATATATACTTCTTTAAATAATGTAGAATTTTAATTGCTTTGATGTTTATTTTTTAGACTGGGGAATTACAGAATGCCTTTTGCTTGGGCTGCCAGACCATTATTTAGATTATATAGTAACGAATTAGATACATCGTCAGATTTTCCAGCAATATATAGACAAGAAGGAAATAAAATTAAGGACGATGAATTATTAAAACTTCTTTCAGAGTATAGAAAGTATGTTTCAAAGATTATATATGAAGTTATGTATGAATGTTGACGAATATTGTTTTTATTTTAGACCTGAAAAACTTAGTAAATTGACTGTGATACCTGGCTGGTTAAAAATAAAAATTGAGTCAATTACGGAATTACCTGACAGTATGTATTCGATTAGTAAAATATATTTCTTGTACTTACAAACGATAAATGATACATCGATTAATTTCATTTTTTGTCTAGATACATTGTCTACATCCTTAACAGCTTTAAAGCCATTTCCATTACCACCAACGTCTGAACCAACTCTTGAAGTTGCAGAATTTGAAAGTACTTCGGAAAAAGACGTTCATCCTTACACAACGTACATTAACCATCTTTATGTATATCCACAAACTCTATGCTTCGATACTCAAAAAATATTTACAAGAGCCAGAAATATTGCGTGCATCGTTGAATTACGGAACGATGACAGCGAAGATACTACGCCTTTAAGAGTACGTATAACGTGTGAAGAGTATGTGTATTAATTTTTTGTTTAATGTTAAATAAAGTAACTAATTTGGTTTAAAAATTAATGAAGTATTTTTAATGTTTTCTACATGTTTTTGTAATAGTGTATATATGGAAGACCTGGTGCTCCACTTTTATGTTTACGAGCATGTTGTGCAGTTTTACATCATAATGCAATTCCCTCTTGGTACGAAGAAATCAAAATACGGTTACCGACGAAACTTCATTCTAAGCACCATTTACTGTTTTCTTTCTATCATATAAGTTGTGATATGAACAAGAAGAAAGAAAATGGAGTCGAAAACTGTGTTGGTTATGCTTGGTCCCCTTTGTTATATAAGGGAAGGTATGATATGCCTTTTACAAAGTTTTACAAAATTCTTAAACACAAATTGAAATAAAATACATATTATATACCTTGTATTAGCGTATATGTGTACATACATTAATTTATACATTATTTAGCTAATACAAGATATTATATACCTTTTTATTTACAACAAAATGGTAATGTACTCATATAGCCATAAAAAGAAATATATATTTCTTATAGATTAAATGTGGATATGGATATGAACGTACAAACATTACCCGTGGCAACACACTTACCTCCAGGATATCTTTCTATACAACCACTTGGGCTTGGAAAAGGGGTAAGAATTAAAGCCCCCATTTATACGTGTACGCGTGTACACAATTGAATATTATTTTAATTGATTTATCGATGATCTTATTAATGTCTTTTTTTGCAAAGTAAAGTAAGATGTACAGACATTTGCAATTGTACTTTAAAATATTCTAATAATTAATTCTATACTACTTCAGAATGCAGGACCGGAAATTATTTGGATTGATTCTCAACGGCCAGTGTTCACAGTAGCTTTTCAACTAATTTCAACTGTATTTACACGTGATGTACACTTGCATAATTTATTTGCTCACATGGAACGAATTCTGGACACGAAACTGGGAGCAATGCCAGCGGATTCGGAAACTTGCAAAATATTAAAAGCTGCTCACGCAGTACAGCTAGTTACTGTTATCACCTTTCTTCCTACAATATTGAATCAACTGTTTACATTATTAACTTATACTATGAACGAGGAAGTTGGATTATTTATTATAAGAGTTTTAATACATTTTATAAATATGGTGCACGAAGCTGGGAGAAAGGAAACTCTTCAAGCTTACATTAAGGTAAGGCACTATATTAAGTTTTTTTCAAACAATAAGAAGACTAAGAAAATGAAATAAAAAAATAATATTAATACCATATTGATATGCTTTACAGTTTGTATTTGTATCGCCTTCGCAAGGAAATGGCAGTATAACAGTTCATGAGCAATTAGGAAAACATCTTCCTACATTGTTGCAACCAAGTAACACTGATTTCTTAGTAGTAAATAAATTCATGCACCACTCCAGCTTCTTTTTCGAAATAATGATCAAAAGCATGGCTCAACATTTACTTTCAACAGGAAGAATAAAGGTAACATTTTATTCAAATGGAACATACACTGCTCAACAGAATTTACGTAAATGAATTTAACTTAACCAAATTATTTTACAGATGCACAGGAATGAAAGATTTTCTAAAGAATACCATGACAAAATTCGAAGTTTAGTAGAAGTTATTATGCCTTATCTTATGACCAAGTATAAAGAAATGCCTGTTGAAACACATGAATTGAACAAAAGTCTTGCACAGTTCCTAAAAGTAAGTAAATATAATCTATGCATTCAATATTACATTTAAATAATAAAGTACATTATTTTTTATTAAAAACTTGAATACACTCATTATATGTATACCTTACTTTATAAAATACTCTATGCTAATTCTATAAATCTTAAAATAGCGATGTCTTACATTCATGGATCGTGGATATGTGTTTCGTCTCATCAATTTGTACATAGACAACTTTTCTCCTGGAGATCAACGTACGCTGCACGACTTCAAATTTACGTTCCTGCAAATAATTTGTTCCCATGAACACTATGCGTCTTTCAACTTGCCGATGATGCAATCACGAATTACTTCCAGAGGTAAATATAGAACTAGTACTGTTATCATACTCGGTATCTTCAATTTTATAATGTAATCATTTTATGCTTTATTTAGAAGATACAGAGAGTGATCCAGAATGTGATGGTATGTTAAGTCATGTTCATACACTCCCGTCTTTATTGTGGTTTATTATTGTAGCCATAGTGAGTGGGAGTTGCACACAGTTTTCTTAATATTAATCACTATCAATCACTAGACTTTTAGAAAATACTGTTATGGTATTTTTATTTGTTGCAATGCAAGCCTGGTTTATTATATTATTGAAATGCACTGAAATCTATGAAGGATTTAAGAGTTCTAGAATATTTAATATTTATGCAATATAGTGTACACATAGACTAGAATGTACATACAATAATTACACGTTTTATGTTATACACCATGTTCTATAATGCAATCTCAAACTTTTTAAAACATATTTCCGTTAAGCTATCTTAATTTTGTTCAATTTTTAATGTTTATAGGTGGCCCTTATGTATGCGCATATTTTCTTATTTTCATATAAAAGTAATATGAATAGAATAAATGTATTAATATAAAATATTCGTTACAGATTTAATGAGCGAGTATTGTTTATCTGAGGATTTTTGTAAACATCACTTTTTGGTTGGACTCTTAATGCAAGAAGTCAAAACTTCTCTAAATGAAGTTATACAAATTCGAAAAGTAGCAATAGCTACATTAAGAGATTTAGTGGCAAAACACGAACTTGATGATAGATATCAAAATAAGGTAAGGTTAATATGAAATACTCTATAATGGAATGCAATACTAAGATTAAGGCAATGTAGTCTTCAAGATTTAAACTAAATTAATTTATAATTAACTGCATTCTATTGCAGGGTCAATTAAGTAGAATAGCATCCATTTACATACCGTGGCTAGGTATTGTATTGGAAAATTTACATCGACTGCAATCTGTACATGATAATAAAACAGACGCTAAACAAAATGGTATCAGTAGAATATCGACTAGTAGTTCATTTTTAGCAAACAAAGATACTAGTAGTAATACAACTACTACTGGAACTCCAAAGTCAATTCATAGGTATGTTTTCAAAATTTTAATGCTACATTTTTTATTTAGAAGTTATAGACTATCAAACAATTTAAACGTGTTACATTTTTCTGAGAAGTAAATAAGCAGATTGAATAATTTATATATAATATTATGTGTAGACTCACGTTACACTTGGATACACAGTCTCCAATACGAGCATCCATGCATTTACGCGATTCTACGTATTTCGCTGCCATAGCAGGTCAAGGTTTGGTTAACGGTTACTCCTGTACTAGTATAGAGTCAGATACTTCAACCATGTCTGGCGCCTCTCAGTCAAATATATCTCAAGAAACGACTATCATTCGTGAACCTATCGAAAATGGTACTGGTGAGAAAAAGAGACATTCACGTTCCTTGAGTGTAACACAGTCATCGCCTAGATGTGATAAATTGCAATCGTCAGAAGTTAGAGACATATTACTTTGTTTCCTATTTGTTATAAAATATTTGGGTGATCATCAGGTCATTGCATGGTGGCAGCAATGCAGCGACTGTGAAATTTTAAACTTCTTTTCAGTAATAGAGTAAGTTAATATTAAATATATCATTAGACTAATGTTTTTCAAAGTATTGCAAAGTTTTTAAAAATATAGAAATTTCTGCAATTGATTGTTTATTTCTATACTGTAAAATATACATTATTATGATTCCTTTTTAGAATGAGTTTGCACCACTTTAAATATGTTGGAAAAAGACAAATAACTACGAATGCTGCAAACAGTTGTGGAAAACCTCGAACAGTAAAAGCAATGACATTGCCGGCTAGAATGGCACCACCTGATTTTTCTACTGAAGGGTCTGCCACTAGTACTTTACAACCTCATAACAATACACTAAGAGAAAATCTTGTTGAAACTGACAGTGGAAAAGTACATCAAGTTTTATTAGAAGCAAATATGGCAACAGAAATTGGTCTCATTGCATTGGATTGTTTAGGACTATTCTGTATTCATTTTAAGGTATGAAATGATGTGTAGATATTGTGTAGAACTGTGTGGCTTATTACTAAGAAGTAAATTGTTCGTATACATGTGATTTTGTTTTTTGTAGGATGTACTTTTAGCGGCAGATGGAGATAATCCTATAATGCAGAAAGTTTTCAGTATATATTTGTCATTCTTGCAAGTTGGCCAATCTGAAACTTTGCTGCGTCATGTTTTCGCTAGTTTTAGAGCTTTCTTAAATAATTATTCTATAATTCTTTTTCAAGGTACGAATTACAATGATGAGTAGTATACAATTATATTCGTAGAATGTAGTAACATGTGTTTGACTTTTACTACGACTGAAAGAATTAAACATTTAAAAATTCGTTATTAATCCTAATTAATCATTTATTATTAATTTTATAGGGAATGCAGTTCTTTGTGGACGTTTGTGTTATGAATTACTACGTTGCTGTAATAGTAAACTGAGCTCCATTAGGCAAGAGTCCTGTGCTTTGCTTTACCTTCTTATGAGAAGTAATTTTGAGTTCACTAGCAGGAAGGGGTTAACTAGAGTTCACTTACAAGTAAGCATGTTGAAAAAAATCAAATTACTTGTAATTATTAAAAACATGTCACTAACATTTACTTTTGTAAAATTATTAATTAATACCTAAGAGAATTAAATATATAAATTTGTATCTTCATTTTATCTAAATATAAATCTAGGAATATTTTTAATATTTTATTCGCACTATTTGCTCATGAATAGGTGATAATATCAGTTTCCCAAATGCTTGGAAATGTTATTGGATTGAATAATTCAAGATTTCAAGAATCGCTTTCATTAATAAATAGTTATGCTTCGTCTGATAAAGTGATGAAAGGTACTGGTTTTCCAGTTGAAGTTAAAGATCTTAATAAAAGGATTCGAACAGTTTTAATGGCGACAGCCCAAATGAGAGAACACAATAATGATCCTGAAATGTTGGTGGATTTACAACATAGTTTGGCTAATTCGTATGCTAGTACACCAGAATTAAGGCATACGTGGTTAGAAACTATGGCTAGAAATCATGCAAGGGATGGAAATTTTTCAGAGGTACATAATTTGAAATCATTTAAAATAAAATGTTCGTATGTTATGTATTAAGAAATACATTAATATTGTTTCTTTAGGCCGCTTGTTGTCAATTACATATCGCTGCATTAATGGCGGAATATTTGAAATTGAAGAAAGTTCACACGTGGGGAGCGGAAGCCTTTGACAAAATCTCTGAAAATATTTCTAGAGACGAATGTAGCCTTAAACTCGATGCTGGTGAGATTTGTATGTTTTGCACATGTTTGTATTATATATGTATTAAGTTACTATTATTTTCAATCGTGCTTGTTTCCTTATCAATTTTTATATTATACATGTAAAAAATGCATGTTATTGATTTGAAATTATATTTATTCTGATTAATTTGTATTAAATTTGAATGTATTGGTATTAATATGTTTGCATGGATTACATTTGTTTAGTTTTCATTTTTAGATGTAAAATTTTATGATTAATTGTATTATTTTAGGTGTGCAAGATATTCATTACAACGACTATCTACTTCTTGAACAATTGGAAGTTTGTGCTGACATATTAGAAAAAGCAGAACGATTCGAACTCCTTGGACATTTGTATCGATTAATAGTTCCTATGTATGAAGAAAAACGAAACTACGAAGCTTTAGCAAATTGTTATTCGCATTTGGCACAAGCCTGTAATAAGATTGTCGAGGTTACTAAGTCTGGGAAGAGACTTCTTGGAAGGTTCTATAGAGTTGCATTTTTTGGCTCGGTAAGAATATTAAAAAGTGATACTACTAATAATTTTCATTTATATAATCCATATAATACATGTATAAGTAATCTGTATACATGTGCTTTTAGGCGTATTTTGAGGATGAAAATGGTCAAGAGTACATTTACAAAGAGCCAAAAATTACATCTTTATCAGAAATTTCAGAGCGTTTACATCATTTATATTCCGATAAATTTGGTTCAGAGAATGTCAAGATGATAATGGACTCCGTGCCTATCGATGTAACTGAATTAGATCCAAAACTAGCATATATTCAAGTGACACATGTTACGCCTTACTTTGAAAAATTTGAATTAGATACACGACAAACAGAATTCGAACAGAATCACAATGTGTCGTGTTTCATGTTTGAAACACCATTTACTAAAGAAGGAAAAGCAAGGGGTAATCCAGAAGATCAATGGAAACGGAGAACAATTGTTACAAGTACGCTAATTTTCCATCTAATTGCCACCTATCAAATAATTTATAAACAAACAAATACCATTAATACTCATTTATATTTTAGCTCAATATTCCTTTCCATACATTAAAAAACGCATCTTGGTAACTGAAAAACGGTTAATGGAACTGAGTCCAATTGAAGTTGCTTTGGATGAAATGCGACAGCGCGTCCAAGAGTTAGAAGATGTCGCTCTTATAGGTCCGACAGATGTGAAAAAATTACAATTAAGGCTACAAGGAAGCATATGTGTTACGGTAAATGCTGGACCACTTGCATACGCTTCTGCATTTTTAGATCCTGCGTTGTCGCCACAATATCCAGATGATAAAGTTGAAGAACTAAAAGATGTCTTTAGGTAAGTTTCTTTATTAAGGAAGGAAAAGTAATTATTTATTATTTTACTTACAATATCACTGATTTTCAGAGAGTTTGTTAAGATATGTTACACAGCGCTTCAAATAAATAGCAAATTAATAACATCTGATCAACACGAATATCAAGAAGTGTTACGTGAAAATTATCAGAAACTATGTCAGAATTTATCATCTTTGCTTGGAGAACCTATTTGGCCTGATGAACAAGTTGGTAATTTTAAACGTAATAGCGCTGCTTTGTTTAGTGCTATCAGTGGTGCTAATAATCATACAAGTACAGCCTAAAATGATGATTAAAATGATGTCATCTGTAACTAAATTACCTTTGTTTTTAAAGTAATTTCTTATGTAAGTGAATGGTACAAATTTAATTACACACAGTGCTCCACTAAAGTTACTCCATTTTAATATTTTCGCTATTTTAAATAATAGGAGAAACTGAAATTGTCGTTCAAATCTCTATGAAAGAAAACAATTCTCACCATATTATATTAGGCTTAAAGCAGTACAGTTTTTGTAAGCAATATCTCTCTCTCTCTCTCTCTCTCTCTCTCTCTCTCTCTCTCTCTCTCTATTACTCGAAACAGCGAAGATAAAAATAACTTGTTTTCAATGAGTTACTGTATTCTAATTGATCATTAATTTACTTAAGCACAAAAGACACTCTGTTACTACTTGTGGTTGTTATTATAATAGTAAGTAAGTCAATTACTACACTTCCACTTTGCTGTCATAATCAAACTTTTTTTAATTATTGTATGTACTAAATGGTATTGCTTAAGTATTATCCATTTATTGTAACTTTTGGTCATTTTTATTCGAGGACTTTACTGGATAAAATGGATAAAAATCACAAACAGTGGACGTAAAATACTATATCTCAAAACAATATAAAAGTATTACACTGTGGCCTAATGCAAATGTTCTCAATAATTTGATCACTGCCATATTTTCATATGTAACATATATATGCCATATTTAGCATATATACACTCTTTTTAGTGCAAATTTATACTGACAGAAAAGTAACTTTCAAAAATAGTATGTAGATACTTTACTTTCGTAAACAAATTTACATGTTTTCTAACTTAAAGATTTGTAACTGTCTACACCAATATGCAATTTCTATCTATCGAATAAGAATATTATACATATTAAATCTAGTTGAATGTAGTATATTTTGGTGTCAAGCACCTAAAGGGGCATTTATATATGCGTACATATTGACTTAAGGATTTAATGATTTGTATATTGGAATACGTTGAATGTGTAGAACTTAATTTGTATATATTTGTATAATTTATTCTACATATATGTATTATGTAAAGAAGATATAGCTAGCAATCATTCAATATTAATGCAAATATTAATTGAAAAGAGGGAAACGTTTTATGAGATAGTATCAGTTTAAAAAGTTCCACATTTTAATCGAATACGAATTTTTTACATATTCTATACGGTAAGAAATTTTGACAAATTTTGTTGAAATGGATATGAAAATTTATATTTTATATAGTCTCTACTACAATATTTATCACATGAAATCACGATAATCGTTGAATCTCCTCATTCTGATTCACGGTAACACAAAATTTTATGGATAATGTACTTAACAAAAATACTGCTTTCTTTCCAATGATATTTTTCAGAAATTATTTTTATTTCATATTGTTTGCTTGTCTTCTTTATATAATTTTGTTGTGATACATTCTAAATAATGCATAATATTTACTGTATTTTCATTTTGTACAATTTTGTTCAATGCTTTATGTATATAAAAACTACAGCTAATTAAAATTTTATGTATTTATAAAATTTAATATCGTAAATAATGAGTGTCTTTAAATTTTATATCTCGCTGCATTTATTGCACATAAGATAACAATTTTTAAAAAAAGTGGAATGAACTCTTTTATTTGATAAAAATGATCTTTACTCTGTTATGGGTTTCCATACAAAAAACTATCTGAAAATTTTACGTGCTTTTATGTATAGTAAATGTATAATTGTAATTAGTATGTATAGACTGTTGTGTTTAAATAACGAAATATTGTTATTTATCTTTGGGAATATGTGTCACTCATAGATAGAACTTGTCTAAAAGAATGTTTCAATAGATACAATTGAAAACCGTTCGAATAGAATTGTAAATGATTTTGTCATTGCATTATTACAATTGGTTTTTATTAAATTTAACTAATATAAAAAAGAAATACAGCTGTACATTAGTAACATAATATACGAATTTGGGGTTCAGTCATAAAAGAATGCGTTCACTTCCTATGAAGTTAATTGTGTCATTTTTAAAATAAAAACATGCGGTTACATATTCTTCCAAAATTGCAATTGATTTGAAAATTTGAGTAATGAATGTATAGTGATTTACTGTTGTAATGCTACAACAAAAAGACTGAATGCAAACTATCTATTTCAGTATGTAAATTAAAAAGATTAGACTTGTACACTGATAGCATTTTAATTAATGGATCAATTTGGAGATAATATAAATAGTATTTGACTGAGAAAGGAAGTAAAGCTTACGTGCCATAGCATACTATTTCTTTCATTCAGACTGCATTTTGTAGCTAGGTATAATGCAAATGGACATCGCACAGAAACGTCTGAATATTTGAAAATGTATGCTACTAATTGTTTCAATTAATGATACCATTAGAAATAGAAGAAGTTATGCTTATAGAATTATAAACTATTTATACGAAAAATTAATTTTAAGAAACAACTACATATACTTCATACATATAAAACATTGGATTCTTCATTGCTGATATCTATGTTAAGTAGAATAAATTTATGCCGGATTTATACTAAATGATCTTTCATAAAGCTCTCTAGAAATAAATGAGGCAATAATTGTTATATTAATTTATATACTTTCAAATGTATTAGGAAAAGGAAAATCATGTTTTGTATGCATTTAAAGGTTGTCAAAAATCTTGTTAAATATTCTTTTACAATACATTTTAAGGGCTATTCATAAATTACGTGATGTTAATTTCATCTGATCTCTTTCACTGAAGCAAAGCATGTGTATAAAAAAGAAATTACCGATAAAATTTTAATTTACATATTTGACATTCTTTCTTATAACTTGTTTTTTCTTTGACCAAGCTACCCCTAAGAGTGTGACGTAACTTTTGAACAGCCCATTATTTAATTTTAAGATTTACTACAAAATTGAATACACACCTAATAACAATTATTACTTCGTTTTGTGTGTTACATATACATGTATCTTACATTTATTTATTTTTTAATTATTATTTAGCAAAGCAAAATATCAAACAATTTTAGAGGATATTCTTGTTCATATAATTGAAGAAGATGTTTTGTCAAATGCGGTGTCTCTTTAGTAGTGAAAGTTTTCATAAATGAAAGTCAAAATGCTGTCCATTAATACGTTACAACTACTATCGTCATTTCTAATAAAAATAATGATATTTTGCATTCATTGTAATCTTTTATAAAGAAGAGAAAAAAAGAAAGAACAATATTAAGAACTATGTATGTATGCAAAAGAGAAAAAGCACATGTCTAAATTCAGTAATATAAATGAATGATGCACGAAAATAAATATTGCAATTATATAAAAAACATATAATCTTAATTTTAATAAGTATCAAATTAATTTGTGATGCAACACTAAAAATGTAAATGCTACTTTGTGAGTTTAGTCGATGTTCGTTAAATATGCATACATTTGTACAAATACATGACATTTTTTAATTAGCAATTATGTTAAAAATAATACTATTGAATTATCTTGCAAGTAGATCAGTTTTTTTTAACTTTAATATTATAAAGCATTTGAGTAATTATTATAAATTGCAATGGGATAATAAGTAAAAGGCATACTCGCACAACGTTTCTGATAATTTTACATTGAATTATGTTTAAGCAAATACATTGCTTGCAACTTATAATACACCGATGTTATAATTATTGATATATGTGACCATTATAGAAACACTGTATTTGTTACTCCATTGTGATTAAGATAATAAAATGACAAATAACTTGAAAATGTTAGCTCTATTGTAATAATTCTTCTCATTGTTAATTTGTACACTAATAATTGACTGATATTAAGTTTTTTAAATAAATAAAAATACCGAAAAATGTGGCGTCATCTCTCAGTGAACCATCCAAGTTTGTCGTGAAATAGTTGCCGCTAGATGGCGCCACACTTCCAGGTTTTTCATTTCTTTAAAAAACTAGGCATTAGACAATTATTAGTGTACTAATCGACAATTATTAGTTGAATTACGATAGAAAGTATGTAAAATTACGTTTATATGCAGAAAAAAGTAGAGAATATATATTTTGAAAATTTTCATGTTCGTGGCGTTATCGAACGACGCCGAGATGGAAACTATTTCACGACAAACTTAAAGAGTTCACCAAAAGATAGCGCCACATGTTACGGAATTTTTATTTATATAAAAAAATTTATTATAATTCAATTATTAGTGTACAAATCAACAATTAGAAGTTGAATTATGATAATTACGATGTAAAATTACATGAATATGCAGAAAAAAGTAAAGAATGTGAATACATGTGAAAAATTAGTTCGGTCACCGCCGCTAGATGGCGATACCAATCGCGGGTCCATTAGCTTGCCTATAAATTCAAATAATTAATGATTTTTGCAAGAAGTGTGATATTAAGTTGTAAGGGAATAATTGTAAAAGGATGAGAATAGCTATATAAACAACTTTTGATAGAAGTATTATATTTTTATAGTTTTGTAAGCTAACATCCATGGGCCAACGATGGCCTAAGTCTTTATTAATAATAATAAAAATAAAAAAAAAAAAATAGCTTTCCTTATGTCCTTATATGTATACTAGTGGGAAAGGTATCGCTAGTGCGTTGGACACATTATACAGTATGTATTATAGAACGTATTTACAACGATATATTTACACTGTCATTACAAAAGTTGTGTTAATAATACCACAGACTATATATTCATCGATTTATATTACCGCATACACAACAAACATTCACTCAACCGTGGCTAAAATAAACTATGCTTCATTCTCATTCACACGGTTAACGTTCGTTAAACTCCTTTGAAATAACGCTGACACATTTCTCGAGTAGCGGCACGTTCGGATTACGCGTTGAAATAATTTATAACTTTAATCTCACAAGTTTTGATTAAGTGACTATGAATTCTCATACTCTTTCTCACGGCTTTGTAAAAAATATAAATCTATACAAAAAGAAAGAAAGAAAGATAAGAAAAAAAAAAGAAGAAAAAAAGTGATAAAAGCTGTACGGCTACGTTTAATTAATTAACATAAGTTCTCGCTCTATTGCACGTATAAAGTTTACTCGAATGAAAGATACGCACTCCGTCGTGATCCAGCATCATCGATATTAGTATTACTCGACAATCTTGATCCCCTTCGCACGGTAATGACGATCCTATAAAATCGCCCTAACGAACTTTCTACTTTCTACGTACGTGTTCACTAATACGTTTACATTCTGCATTCATGTGCATAGAAAGTAGAATTACACATATTATAATCTTAAATAATTAATAATTAATAATAATTATTTAAGATTATGATTAGGTTGGTCTAGTAGCTATTGTTACCTTAATATGATTGAAACTGTGGGAGTCGGAAAAGAAATTTAATTAATAGAAATCAAAGATGAACGATGTTTTATTCGAGTAACAGATGACGAATAATGTCAACTTTGTTATTTTGTTTGATTAAATAATTACTCGTGTGTTCGTTCTCCTTAAAGAATACTCATTCCACAGTTCGTATTCTATTTTTTATTTCTGGACTAACGAATCAAATCAACATGTAATAATTATCCGATTGGACAATTAAATTTACATTTGTTCTTTTGCAAAATGTTTCACGCACGAATCTGCTACGAGTATTACATACAATGTTCTTGGTCACACGATGAGACGGTTTACTTACAGACATAAATAAGACTAATTACAAGAAATATATATATATATTTTTTTTTATTTTTCTTAGCCGGCTCATAAAGATACTTTTCGACGAGCAGGTAAACACAAGCACGTGTGCTTCCCGATGGGATAACAAAACAAGAGAGATAGAGAGACTGTTCTTCAGAACGATGCTTTCTTTCTCGGACTATAACATCGGAAGTTCGAGTCATTAAATTAATATCACTAAACGATATATTAACCGACTGAACGTTTGGATGTTAGATGAGATATTTGAATCGATAAAAAAAAAAAAAAAAAAAAATAAAAAAATAATGAAACGATCCGGAATGTCGTTAAATTACCCCCGACTTTTACGAATGTATATTACAATGTATCCACTAAAACCGGACAAATCATGCGTCGGATTGCACGTCGATTCATTGATCGGAATTCCCCATCTCACCCTTAGCAGCACTTATTACAATCGTTAGTACGGAAGCACTTGTTTCGAGAATTACGCTATCTACTAGTCGAAATTTGGCACCAGACGACCGACGTTGTTTTTCTCTCTGCGTTGTTTAAAGCCGGCGACTGACTTGCAACAGAACGCTGTAATGTAACTGCTCGGCACCAGCGTTACATTACAAGATCGTTTCTGGAATCACGAATGCTCGCTTCGAAATCACGGCTGAATTCTCTCTCAATTAGAGATGGCGTGAACTGCTACTTTTGAATCACTCGTGATTCAATCACGTTCATTCTCAATCACGGTGATTTTTCACAGTGATTCGTGATTGTTCGTGATCGCTTCTATTTGGTTGAGAACATTCTTTTCACTTTTCACGAATTATGTTGTTCTTAGGTTATACAGGGTGTCCCAAAAATGTTGTAATACCTTGAAAGGGGTGGTTCAGGAGGTGATTTGAAACAACTTTTTCCTTAGTGAAAATGTTGTCCGAGGCTTCGTTAAGGAGATATTAACAGAAAACCCCGACCAATCAGAGCGCGAGTATGCCGGTTGAGCGTAGGCTACGCGATAGGCGGCCGCGCTCATACGCTACCAAGGCCGCTCCATCGACATACTCGCGCTCTAATTGGTCGGGGTTTTCTGTTAATATCTCCTCAACGAAGCCTCGGACAACAATTTCGCTAAGGAAAAAGTTTTTTCAAATCACCCCCTGAACCACGCTTTTCAAGGACCTCCAACATTTTTGAGACACCCTGTATATGTATTATAATATGGTCTAAAAGCAATGTTAACATAATTTTAATACAATTTGTACCGATATTCCTATCAACTTATTCAACGAAAGTTCAGGATAAACGTAGATTGTTGTCGCCTCGTGGTTGACCACTTGCGCCAGAGAATTGTTCTGTTGAGTGCAAAAGGTTCAAGTACGATCGGACCGCATCGAGCCAATTCGAGTAATAACGTATCATTCGACGATCGACATAGACGTTTCGAGCGATTGGGAACGTTAAAAGTACTATTCGATACTCACTGGTAGGGTTGACAATTGGTCCTTCTTAAAAAGAAGAATTCTTTTCTCAGCACTTACTGTTTTTGTCTTGTTTTGAATTCGAAACGAACACTGTACGTGTATGTGTGTTAAAATTACTTACTGTATACAGGGTGTCTCAGTATTTGTGTAAGAATCGAAAATGGGAGGTAGCCGAGACGATTCTGATTCACAATTTCCTTTGCAAAAATGTCGGATGAGGCTTCGTTTTTGAATCATTAACGAAAAACCATCGGCCAATCACAGCGGCCGAGTAGCGCGCGCTCAGCCGCGAAAGGTTTGCCCAATGGCTGGCCTGCTAGTCCTGGCTTGAGTCAGCCACTCACGAGTGAGCGCGCGCTACTCGGGCGCTGTGATTGGTTGATGGTTTTTCGTTAGTGATTCAAAAACGAACCACCATCCAATATTTTTGAAAAGGAAATTGTAGTCCAGAATCGTCTCACTTACCCCTCCTTTCCGGTTCTTACACTAATTCTGGGACAGCCTGTATAGGAATAACGCTATTTTGGTCCCGTTATAAAGAAATATAGTCGTTTAAAAAAATTGCTCTTTGAAGTTCAGGAAATACTTTGTCCGCGACAAAATAGTAATTTCAATAAAACGTGCACATTTCCTGCAAAAAGTTATCACGTTTCGAGCGAGATGACCTTTTATGATTTTCAGTAAGTTTCGGACGTTTTCATCTTCAACGTTGCCTTTAAAGAGAGGTTAAAACAAATTAGTTGGTAAACTTTAATGCGAATATTTCGAATATTAATACTTATAGCATTAGTCTAGTTTGTCGCTGATAAACACGTAGTTGATACGATATTAAACTCGTATAAAAAAAAAAAAAAAAAAAAGAAAAGAAAACAGGTAGGTAAATCGTTTTAGATACGACAAGTAAAACAATAATTGAAACATTGGACGACTGTGAAATCGCTCGAGGACACGAATCGACGAGTTCAATAAATAATTCCGTTATCTAATAATAGACTGCCAGCGACGTACGAGAACAGAATCCGTGTTCCAGTAATATCATGATAAGTATCAAGTAGTTGGAAACGTTAGACATTCGGTTCGTCGTCGTTAAAGGTTACTCGATCCCTTCGCCGATCGAGTCGATTTCCGAACCGATGGTTAATAGCCGATTCGACATGGTGAATATCCAGTCGAATCGGTATCGTTTACGTTCGGCTCTATTCGAATGCACGCTTGCTAACTCTTCGTGGTTCAGATTTTCTGATTTCAGTACGTTTTCGTCGAGCCTCGCTCGACACGAGACCGCAAAATATTAATCATGGGACGATCAGTGGCAACCGCAGCTCTTGACGACCATGTTTTTGTACTTCTTTAGTATAACGTTGCTTTCGTCGAGGAAATACAGCACGGAGATCGGTGAGAGCTTGGTCGGAGCGCAACACGGCTTTGGTACCTTACCAGGACTCACCAGGTGCACCAACGTTTGGACGATCGCGTGATTGGTCGCGTTCATGTGAGCGTTCAAAGGGAAATTGCATTCGCCGCTGCAATAATATGCATCGTAACCGTCCGGTGCTATGATCCAATCCTGAAAAATAAACATTTATTAATCGTTAACATATTACGTTCTTAGGTGCATCGCCGAGACCAGACAGACTTTCATCGGGCATCGCAGACCTGGGCAGATTTTCTTTTCAATTAAAATGAGGAAGAAACGAGGAAGCTTACAATTAGAGATCGCCGAGCGTGATACTCACTTTTCGATTAGCTTTGGTACGGTTGTAGATAAAAATAATTGAAACAGTATATAGTTTTCGGGACAAACAATTACTACTGTTTATTAGAAGAAATGTACAATGCAACATTTTCTTTATTGTTACATAGTTTAGAATTCGATGTCGTTCGAAACAGAAGATTTGCTAAAATCATATCAAACGGATCTTTAATAATATTATCATTTATTTTGTTAAGAAATATGTACACTGTATAAATTCAAAATTGACAATTAATCTGGCATTAATTTTCAAGTGGTGAAAGGGTACGTTAAACAATGGTATATTAAAAGTGCCCAGGTCTTACGTATTCCGTACGGTTACACATTTCTGGCGTAACCCACCTGCCACTTGAGGTCCCTGAAGCTGACGTACAACGTTTGAATTTTGCAAGTCCTCGAGTTGTACTGCACGCCGGGATCTGCAAATGAGGTATCGATAATATATAAATATCCTTTATCAACGCTAGCTTTTAAGGATTATTTCTAAGGAATTGTTTCTAAGGAAACTTCTGTGCATTTATCGTGGACAAATTTGTGCGTCTAACGATGACGTTACCGTAGCAAGAAGCGAAATGACTAAAATCTATGATTTATTTTTGTCAACACTCTGGTATAATCGTTTAAGCGTACTATACAAGAATTGAAAGTCTAGTAATGGATTAGGTCTGGATTGAAATAAATATAATAATTGGTACATAGGACGTTACCTTCCAGACTTACCGGTGTATGGATTATTCCGATAATCCAAACTCGAAGACTCGCTCTTCTTTCTTCTCCTGGCGTCTCGTTTCTGTCGTACTTTCGTCTCCCTGATGCCGGAGCTCTTGAAATACCCAACCATGAAGGGTTGTCTGTCGGGATCACCCCTGAATCCGACGATTCCGATGTCCTCCGGTCTCATTTCGTGCACTGAAACCAGCCATGACGAGTGACTTCGTTAAAAGACTGAAAATCATGCCTGCAGTCTTCGCTCTGTATAATTATGCAACGCACAAACTTCAGGGATTGTTGAAGCTCAATTTAATACGCGGTAATCGTTTCGGGTAATATACGAAATTCGTCCAGTATGACGAGGAAAATAAACGATAACGTACGTCAACAACGTATTCGTTGTATGGTCATGTTAACACTTTACGGATATAGAGGATAAAGAAATTGGAAATGAAAAAGTTTTTTATTTCAACGAAGAGGAACAACGTACTGTAGTGGGAAGCTGTGAAAATGATGTTTTGGTTGTAGGAGCTATCGAGGAGTTTAATTTTATTTACAAAAAATGAATGGTTCGTATCATTCAAACGGTTTATTCGTTCATTTCGCCGAATCATCACAAATAAAAAGAAAGTCACGCATCAAGATTCTTGATAATTGTTACTTTATCCCAAGTATGGAACGATCGATTCAGTGAAAATATTAAACTGTTCCATTGTTTGAACATTCCCTTAATCAAACTGACCGAGAACCGACTGAGATTCTACTGTACACGTAATTTGAACGCGGAGAAGCATCTCTCGCGTTCGAACGGTACCGAGCAAGCAGAATCGAGAGGAAGGATTTGAATTCGAGGTTTTCCGAATTACTCGGATTTGATTCCATAAGTGGAATGCGCGCAACGACGATCACATTTGCTTGCGTGTTTATTAGAATGGCCTGGCAGGCGACGGATTGGAATTATTAATAGCCAACCTTCAGGAATATTAACTATTTAAGAATCTCAACGCCTATGTCAGGCAGCCCGATACGTGTCGAGCCGTTCACTTCGTCGATATAGGCGACAGTTCATGGTTTCCCAACGCGTTGGCCCTGCAATTAAGTTGCCGCTACACCGTTGCACGTTTAATTAATTGATCGTTCCGTCGACTGGCATACCGATCGGTCAATTATTCTTAATTATCTTTACGCGGCATGCATAACGATTCGTTCAAGTTTCAGCGTTCGGTGGAATACGCGACAGATTGGAACGTTTCGTAATGTAATCGGAACTTGAAGAAGTTGTGACACTTGTTTATTATAATTAACGAAGCCGCATTAATATTCATGCCGTAATAATTATATTCCTTAACAGTTTACAGCGCGACAAAAATAGTGCTGCTTTACATGCGTTAGCATAATAGCGTGTCGCAAGCTGTCCCGTGGATTGGTAACAGTGACGATATCAACGTTAGAAATATTACACTAAATGTGTATACGTATACGAATATTACACTAATCGAGAAACGCGATCGTTAGAGGATCTAGACATACCGGAGCCCGAAGCGAATTACTCCGAAGCGAATTGCTCCTTTTCTCATCTTTGTTTTACGAAAGGCAGATGTTGTCGTTATAGACAAATATTTATCCGCGAGCAGTATTATTCTATAAAAGTGTTTGCAAATATTTTCTTAACATTTACCGTGTAATATATACGCAAAGAAGCGTTTAATAATAATAAATATACGCGACAAAGTTTCAAACAAATCGTTTTGTAATATCATTTCAAAAAGGATTAGCGAAGAAGCATTGTTTTACTTGAAGATTCATTAAATGTTCGCGAAGGTGCTTAGAAAAATTGAACCTAAATAGGAATTTATTTTATTCTGGGAAATATCACTTTCCGTGCGACAGGTTGTAGAAACTGTTTGGTCCTTCGTTGGCAGGAAGTTCGCGTATTCGAAAGAATGTCGATAGCTCACGGCTGAAGGGAGGCGCGTGAAAACTATTCCAATGAAGCGATAGGGAAAACCACAACGTAAAAACGAATCGCCAAGTACGACGGAAGAGGATTTTTAACCGAAATCGATTCGCATGCAGCTCGCAGGTTTCGCGCAATATCGAAATTCGAACGAAAGGACACGCGTACGTGCGAGCAATTCAAACGGTCTCATTGTATCCTCGTGACTGGCGACTCGTCTCAGCGTGCAGCGTTGCTGCGTATGCAAATGATCCGTCTTACGAGCACGACCGTGCCGAGTCCGAGAAAGCTAGTAAATTGGCTCGCAGGAATGCGCATTTGCCGTGATTGCAGCGGACACCTGCCGCTGCACTTTGCGCGCCGTTATAGAATCAACTGGCGACGAACTTGTCGACGATGTTTCTCGTAGACGCGAATCCGATCGACTTACATCGCAATTTCTCTGGATCGGACACTTCGGACTTTCGACAACGTGGCTATAGTTTAACACGGGGATAACGCTTATTTTCGATATCGCAATGATACACGATAAACATTCTTTTGGGAACGTTGTTCTTTCTTTTAAAATAATTTCCCAATTATTGTAATGTTCATAAACGACCGCTGTTGCAAATAACCCCATTCGACGGCAATTCATCATGGAGATAGCGCGCACACTGTCGAATCACGAGAAAGTATAATATTTTGAGAGCCTGATGCTTTTCATGAAATTATTTACCGAATACCTGGCTCGTAAATACTCGCAGTCATTCTTAAATAACCGTAATACTCGTTAGAATAAATACTGGTTGCCATATGGTTCCATAAATTTTCGCCAATGCGACATATGCGCAATAATGCTAATTTTATCGATTTCCTCGCATAAATCACATTCCATAGTTGTCTACGATATGGTATCCCTGGAAGCAGTCGCGAACACCTGGTTTCTGCCTACAGGTATCGCAATGATATTCAGATTCCTGTCTTTCTTCCTTAATTTTCCGATTATCACCACGCAAACACGCATTCATCCATCTAATACAGTAATAGATACTAAAATAAACTGTAAATGTACGCTGTTATAGAATTGTTTATCGCTAGAACGGAGGAGCAACAAAATATTAACGTAACGATACGGTTTAGTAAAGTTTTGAGATACCTGCGACATTTGGATGGTAATTTTCGCGACATTGTAAAGAGATCTCCAAAATGGGCTTTAGAATTCTGTTTCTTAATAATAATCATCCGTACCACTTGCGTCGTGTTTGATTAAAAAACAAAATCTTAAAGGTCCTTTTCGAAAATTCTTTACTATAACGATTAACTGAATTATCTTAATTTTAACGAGCCAATCTCCAGCACACCTTTATTATCGTTCGGTGCAAGTTTGTTTTTTTTTGGAGCACGTTACTCGTTCTCGAATCCTTATAATTTTGACCAGTTAAAATGAATCGCGAGACGAACATGGTTACCGGTTCCACGTCCTTGACTGTCGGAATTATTGCGAAAGCGTTGCCGCCTGATCTAGGACTGCCCCTTTGTAGGAAATGATTTTATCCTTGAACCTCTGGCACGGCGAGCGTACACCGAAAAATAGCCTTTACTATCTTTTCGCGTGCGATGTTATTTGTAAGGGAATCCATCGTTTTATATTTTTGATTAGCATACCCTACCACTTGAAGGTGTTAGGATATTTGTTATTTTTAGCATGTGGCGTACGTTGCGAATTTTTACCTCTAAATATATACATTCGATAATAAAATATTCAGAGAGATGCTTGGTAGCTGAAATACTTGCAAAAAATTACAATATTTACTTGAATTTATGTATAAAATGTTCTCAAAATTTCAGTAAATCATATATCATTCCTTTCTTGCTAAAAAGAATTCATGCAAATCGCTGAAAAAAAAAGACAAAAAAAAAACAACGTAGTTCTCTACGAAGATCCTTTTGAGATTATTAATTTCACAGAATTTCTTGGCCGGAGTGGACGCACATTTTCCAGAGGCACAAGTCAAATACCTTTGTTACCGTCCTATTAGCATCCCGATAGCAACTCCGTTACCAGTGAATTAGCATTTGAATAAGTAAGACCGAAGCACGCAGCGTTAGTACTATCGTTCGCAATCATCCGTCCTGCGGAGTTCCTAGAGTTCGCGGTACAATCTCTCTCAATATCTTGATTGTCCAATAAAACGACGATCGCGGACATTTCTCTCAAACGGCGCATAAAATCTGCTATCTCGGCACGGAGAAAAGATCACCGGAAGAAGAGAGAAACCGAGCATGGTATTCTTGAATCTTCGCTAACCACAGCCTCCAGTTACCCATCTCAGGGGAATACAAAGATCCTTAAACGCAGTCGAGCGAACGATTGGCTAACTGCTGATAAACTGACTTCGTTATGCGAGAATAATTGGCTCGGGATACATTACGGGAATACACAATGAACGGGTAGAATTTTGTTCGAGTAATAGATGACAAATAAAAATATTATACGAACCGTTTGTTTTGAAAGTGGCCTAACTCCATTTATACTTAAATTGAGATATTTAAGCGTACGTGATCCGACACAGGTAAAGATATGCGTACAGGATGAAGAAGTTAAATTTACAGTTCCTATTAAAATAATGGCGATTATTAATCGAATAATATGCGTTTTCTTATCAAGGATGGATTTAAGCCACTTTCAAAATCAACACCTGAATTTCTCACGAAAAACAAAAACAAAAAAAAAACTTCTTCACGCCCTCGGCCACATACGTGGACGTTCAGTTTTTCATAATTATAATCACTGTTAGTGATAAAAAGAACAAAAATTTGATAATAACTTGTTCACCGCGGAATCCCTCAACAAGAGGAGAGAAAATTTGATGCTTCGGCACCACTGATAATGTTCTTTCCGATGTATAAAATAAAAGTCTTATTAAGAAACGAAAATCTAAATCGCGTTTCGGAAAACTGTTTATTCGACGGAGAAGAGAACCGAAATGTTCCACAATCGACGATATCCATTCGAGCTCGTGGACCAACCCGATGTTATTCGAGCAAAGTTTAACCTATCCCGATGCTTTCGTTCCGGAATTTTGGAACGATCAGGCGCAGCGGAGCAGCCACGATAAATCTCAAGACATCTGACAAAGGCTGGTTCTCGTTCGCGGTGATAGCGAGGTGTCGCAAGCTTGTAGCGCGAGCGAGACGACCGAGCAAGCGAGCACGCAGTTAGGCATGCGTGGGCGTATCACGCGGAGGTGTGTAGCCG